CAGATCCATCATCACTGGAAACACGCACTGGTTGTACAATTTCGTTTTAAGGTTTTGAGCTTTGTCTAACGAAAAGATGTGTCGTAGTTTCCCGTACGCTGCCCAGCCGAGTTGAATCCGTCGATTGACCTCTCGGTCGAAGTTGGACTTACCTAGTCGGACTATTTGTCCCAGGTAAACATACTCGTCAACTTAGTGCTCCCAACAACTACCGGCATAGGTGTGACATGGACGTTAAACATGATTTTTGTTTTGTCCATGTTCATCTTAAGACCTATCCGTTGGGAGACACCATTGAGGTCATTGAGCATAGTGCTTAGGTCCTCCAGCGATTCTGCCACCCTGTCTTACACCTCAACGATACTCAGCGTCAACGTAACAAACGTCTTCCAATGCAGCGGTGAAAAGTTTCGGGGATATAACGTCACCCTGTCTTACACCTCTCTGCAGTTGGATAGGTTTCGTACTCTGATTCTGTACTCGGATAGCCATCGTAGCTCTACTGTACAAACACTTCAGCACTTCGATATACTGACAGTCAACATGGCACCGATGAAGGGACTGCAGCACTGCCCAATTTTCGACGGAATCAAAGGCTTTCTCATAGTCCACATACGCAAGGCAAAGTGGCAGATTGTACTCGTCTGTCTTCTGTACAATTTGCCGAAGGTTGTGTATGTGGTCTATGGTACTAAAGTCTTTTCGGAAACCGGCTTGTTCGGGAGGCTGGCAGTCGTCAAGTCTGCGTGCGAGACGATTCGTAATGACTCTCGAAAACAGCACGTACACGCGGCTCAGAAAGGAAATCAGTCTGTAGTTCTTCAAGAGAGCGTTGTCGCCTTTCTTGAAGAATAAGACCACCGCACTACTGCTCCACGCCTCCGGAGTAGTGCTACCACGGAGGACGGAATTAAAGAGCTTCTGAAGGACTTCAAGTACCGGTTTTCCACCCGCTTACAAAAGCTCCGCTGTAATTCCATCCTCGCCCGGGGACTTTCCGTTTTTAAGGTGCTGGAGAGACATTCTTATCTTGCTCAGACTGACGTCCGGGATATCTTCAGAATAGTGTCGGATTAGACTCGCTCTTGGATCGTTACTCACACTTGCGTGTGGCTCCAACGATGACGTGTACAGCTGTCCATAGAACCTCTCAATCTCACTCAAAATCTCAGGTGTCCCGGAAACGATGCTGCCACACTCGGTCTTCAGCTTTGACAGTTTGCTCTTTCTGGCAGACAGATCTCTGGCAAGGACTTTGGAGCCTTGGTTCCGCTCGATCGCTTCTTCAATACAAACTGTATTGAAGTTGCGTAAGTCCCGCCGCATACATTTGGAGATCTGTCTGTTCTCTGCTCTCTCTGTGTATGCTGTCGAATCTGTTGAAGAATGTAGCTTCATGTCCCGTCTAACAGCCATGAGATTAAGAGTATGATCGGAGAGTTTTTGTGTTCTTCTGCGGCGGGTCTTGCAGAACTTAGCTCCGACCGCATGGACAGTTTCCACGAGCTTATCATTCATATCGTCCACTTCTCCACTCGAACTGAAAGGTTTCGGGACTTTGGACTAGAGCACGAGGGGACGGAGCGTTGACTTCATTAGACGAGACCTCTCCAACTTAACGTTTTGGTTCAGTGTGCCTCTAACCATTCGGTGATCGCTACCAGTTTTCACCCTCTAGATCACGGAGACATCATTGAACAGTTGTCGTCTGGTCGTCATAATGAAGTCAGTCTCATTTTTTGTCGAACCGTCGGGGCTCGACTTCTGGAAGAAAGAGTTCATTATAAAGAGTCCCTCTTTCTCCATGAAGTCGGCCAGCTGCTGGCCCCTTGGGTTCCGTTGCCCTATTCTATATTTCCCTATTTTCAGCTCACCGTTCTCTCTTGTGCCTAGTTTTGCATTGAAGTCTCCCATTAACACCGTATAGTGGGTTTTGGAGGAATGCATGGCTCTAGAGATATCCTCATACACTTCCTCCACCTCCTCATCGGGGTGTGCTGAGGTTGGTGCGTAAACCTGTATTACCTTCAGCGAATACCGTTTGGTGATTTTGAGTATAAGGTACGCAACTCTCGTCGACACACTCTCAATCTTTACAACGTTGTTAACGAGAGACTTGTGGACGATAAATCCGACACCTCCTTGGGACAGATGGTCGCCCTCCCGGTGATAGAGCAAGTTGCCGGATTCGAGGATTACCGTGTCCTCCCCCTCTCTTCGGACTTCGGATAATCCTATAATATGCCAGCGTAACTTGTCTATCTCTTCTTCCAGCTCCACGATCTTCTCGTCAGTCCTCAGGGTGCGTGCGTTGTATGTTGCCAGGTCGTGTCGTCTTAGGTGGCAACCGAACCTCCACCTGAGGTTCTTAGCACCCCCTGCTCCGCCGTTACCATGGTCGCCACCGTAGCCAGGAATAGCGGGGTCGCCGGGGATTGGGGGCCATTTCTTTGTTACTCTCAACATAGGGGGGTATTTGCCATAGTTGCCACGCTTGGCGAGCGGGTTGTTAACCGCAGTTTTTTTTATTGTAACTTTGCTGTTATCAGGAAGATGCTGCTGCCCATCTCCTGCCTGTTTCCCTTTGTCACCTTTTACGACACCCACGGGGAGATATGGGGTAGTGCATATTCTTAACCGCCACTACACGGCATTAAAAGTTATTACATTTCCATTAAACGTTATTATTTCCAGATTTATTTAAAATTTTAGAAAATAGCTTTTTAGAGCAACCCGTACTTAGAGAACTGTCGCGCAGCGGTCATTTGCCGGGGCGTGACTCACAGTACATAACATTGCACCATTGAAATCAAAACGAATACGCAATACTATTGAAGGAAAGAGACATCCCTTTGTTGGCGAGCGGGCGGCACAGGCGACGCGCACCTTTTCTCCCCGCTGCACTGAAATCGAATTTTTTTTTGCTTTTTTAGTGCTTGCCGAATCCATGTCCTTGACACGCTTCTTCACAACAGTGCGCATAATTACGTCGAATGATATTTTTGTGAACTTTTCAGCGAAAAGACGCTTACCTATTGTTTTATTTATTAATTTTTGTATAATTAGTTTATGGTACTGCGATAAAGACACTTTTAGTTTTCGTTTTCTAATCTAGTAGGTACGTTTACATGTCTTGCGATACGAACGTTTTATTTGTGTTTGCTTGTGTAAACTTGTGATCGTAATGGCAAACACACACACACAGGCAAGGGTGATCCCAATTTTAGTTACTTTTTTATTATTAAGTTTATTTGAAAAAAAAAATCAATTTAGGTGTTATTTTAACCTATCAAAATTATTTATGATTAATGGGCACAATCCCTACCTGTGTGTTAAATTAAAGTCACCATTGTAGCGGCACGTTGTATATTATTTAATTTTAGTGATATCCTGTAAAAATTGAAAAACGCTTCTTGGTGTGGCCGAAATTTTGCTACCTTAATATAAAATGGACTCTCTTTTATTCTTAGCGTGTTTAATCGATGTAACCAATAACGAATTTTCTTCTTCTTAGTTAGGTTTAAAATTACCAGACTATCGGCAGGGAGCATCATAAAAGATGAACGGTGTTTGATATTACGATAGCTAAGACACCCGTCAAGCGTGGTGGTTAAGGAAACCTAACCTGTTAGATTTTATTTTGATTGTAGAATCTTACAAGCGTTTTGAATAGATACTTCTGTTAACTTATAAGATGTTTGTGAATAAATAAATTAATAGGTATACCGAGTGGCACCGAAATTTCAATAGCCTGATTTAGGGTTCGGTTCGTCTAGGCTTGTGACGACAATATCAGCCTCCTACTTTGGTTTAAGGTTGATGCTTCAGTTAGAGTCCATTTGCCGATGCGTCCTTAACACTAGTGTGTAATCCATACTTTGTACACAAGGGCAAGTGATGCTAGTGCGAACGATATGCTGGTGTGACGCTCAACGCTCGCGCATTCGTAATACCCTTGGGTAATGAAACCAGCTGATCGTTCTCACCGGCATTTGGTGAAAACGATGAGCTGGAGCAAGTGCCAGTAGTCAACCTTATAAATCTGCCGTGATTCAACACGAAGACAAGTTGGACTGGCTTGCAGGAGCTGCAGACTGCAGAAGACGATTCTCGGGAGCAAAAAAAAAAAAAAGGTTCTGAAGGATAGTGAAGATAAGCTTGTTTTTAATAAATTAATTACAGACTATTCTCATAGAGTGACTCATAGCGGGACCTGCCAAAGTAGTCACGTTGGCAGTCGGGTTGGTAACAGCAATTTTTTTATTATTTTAAGTTGTTATCAGGAAGATGTTTCTGTCATCTCACTTTTTACTCTGTTGCCTCTTACATTAGGAATTAATTGTCACTCTGAACTTCTATTCCATTACTCCTTACATTTCGTTACCTGTTAAAAAGCTCTTTCAAATTATAAGTAAGCTTTAATTTTTGTATACATTCACCTAAATATAACTAATATAAAATTATGTCATTCGCACTTTATATTAATTTAAAATATGTTATTTCAAAAGCATACCAACATCACTACTTTTAAAACCACCAACATTTTAAGAAAAAAGGTGAGGATAGAAAAGGACTTTGAAAATTATACATTAGTTTATTTAAAATAGCTATAGCATAGCAAAATAGCGTTTTAACCGTATAGGAAGCTCTATTATTTGCTTGTAGCGCCAAATACGGTTTAAGAGGAACAGTGATAGCATGAGTTGTCTCACTCGCACTCGCACTCTACTTTTGTAACGGTATTGCGACCGTACGGGAGTGTCCGAGAAAATCGGGTTTACGGCAAACGAGTATGATAAGCGAGTGACGAGTGACAAGTGGTGGAACTGCTTAGATTGTGGATAATGTAGGTCGGGTTTAAGAGTTTGTTTGGGTTTGATGTTCGAAACTTGTGAATTAATACTGATTGATTTGTTACACTATAAAACAATATATTGTAACAGTATTCTTTAATTGTGAGTCTGTGATTGAGTGGTTGCTGCATTTTTGAGTGCGTAGCAATGGCTGAGGCTGCAGGTGCCGCCAGCAGCAACCCCAACGCGGAGATTGTTCGGGGCCAGGTCTTTGAAGTTGGCCCCAGATATACCAACTTGCAGTACATCGGAGAAGGAGCTTATGGCATGGTTGTGTAAGTGTTAAGCGAGTCAAAAAGTAAAGAAGTAAGATATTCATTGTTGCTTGTTTTGTTTGAAAGCAAAATTTTGGCCTAGATGAACCCGCTAGAAGTTAAATTAATTAAATTAAACTATAAGTATTTATAACAAATATGAGATATATCTTAGATAGAAACTACCTATTAATACAAATATTATCACTATCTTATTTAATTTGATAACTTAATATTATCACTTTAGTATACCTTACCTTAGTATTGTTGATTATATTATTAGTTATGCAACCTTATTGTTTTCATCAAATCTACAACTTAACCAAAACTAATAAAACAACACATTTGAAAAAAAGGATTAGGCTTTTTACTATGAATATTTTACATTTGATATAAAATTATACAGAATGTTATCTAAATATTTAATATTAAAAACAATAATTGGACTAAATGTTGACACCAAGTGATTTTAATCATGATCACTGCTTTGTTTATTCATCTTGATATTTAGCTACTGCGATGTTGCAAGATTCTTTGTATGAACTTTTAGGAAAATTTTAATTACTACTTATCATAATTTCTATAAACACATGCTAACAATGCAACAATTGGCATACATTGCTTGTAATATTTGTCCACATTTACTAAAGTATGTATGCAGGTAGTTGAATATAGAGCCAATACTCTTGCACTGACGATCCTGCTCCTCATCATTTGTGATGGAAAATTGTGACCATTATTTTTGGATATATTTTCTGCCATTAGTTACCAGATATGGTGTCAATCAGATTAGTTGGCATGTTCCCCATTAGACACCACTAATGGCTTTTAGACGTAACTAAATGGGGGAATGTGGTTCTCTCAGGCCTGCCTGCATTCCACAGGTACTGCATTCATTCATCTAATTACCATAAATAGTATGTAGTATGTATTTGATAGTCATATTACTAGTCTGCTAATAAAAGAGGCTGTGCCGGGTTATGAAGATATATTAAAAAAAAAAAAAACAAGTGAAATTTACCACCTTTTTATCATATTTTTGCATTGTCATTTGAATTTGAGCTATATTCAAAATTTCAACTTTCCAGCTGATTGGAAAGTTAGTTTAAAATCAATTACTAAATTCCACCTGGAACGACAGACAAGAAAGTGACTAAATAAAAACATGGTAAAAAATATTGTATTATCTTTTAAATATAATTTTTTAAATAGGTATTATGTGCAAGGTTAAGAGCCGTGGTAGCTCAGATGGTTAGCACTTGCTGTAAGCCTCACAGTACTCGAGCAACCGGGGTTGGATCCCCGCCGGCACCAATGATATTGTTAATTGCAATTTTAAGTGCTGATTTACCACATGCTCGGCGATGAAGGAAAACATTGTGAGGAAACCTGCATGTCTAAGCAATAAGAAAAAAAAATATTTCGAAGACATGTGAAGTTCGCCAACACTCATTGGGGCAGCGTGGCGTACATTTCCTTGCCCTAAAACCTTCTCAAAAAAAAAAGAAATGAGAGGCCTGTGCCCAGCAGTGGGACGTAAATAGGCTGCAACTTTATGTTAACTTTTATGTGAAAGGATAAATTTTAAATAACAAAAGTATTCTACAGTACCTTAAATTAGGAGTTATTTAATAAATATCAAACTACCTTATGATTACGATGGTACAAATCCTTCATGTGCGAGTTCGACTCACACTTCGCTGGTTATTAATAGATACCAAGTCTTTTCTACCGATTTCAAATAGGAGGAGGTATTCAATTATACTGTATATTAATTTTTGGTTTTTTTGGGGTTTTAGACCCTATTACTAAGCCTCCGCTGTCCATCCGTTTGTTTGTCTGTCTGTCAGCGGGCTGTATGTTATGATCCGTAATATGTACACAGTTGAAATACTCACAGAATATGTATGTATGTATGTCTTGGATAATGACAAAAGAGCATCTTTTTTAAATATACATTCTATATCCAATATTGCCATGTTCCTGTCTATAGTTTTTACATAAATTTGTGATTTTAAAAACTAGAAATCTTTACAATTCACTAAAATTGCCCATTTACCTCTGTTATTACATTCAGACAACAAATTTAAGAATATAAAATTTTTATCAGGTGTTAGGACTTTCTCTTTTTTGCCAAGGAAGCCGACTAGTAGGTACCACCCTCTTACCTATTTCTACTGCCAATTAGCAGTGCCTTCACTAATGAATTTCTCTCTTAATTACAGACCGTAAGGCATTCTATCTTAGTTGTCAGAGGTGACAATGCACCTGTGACTGTAATTTAATGTGGTAGGGCCATGCTACAGCTATATTAATTGTATAGTTTTAGCACAAATGGGGAGCCTTGACCGGGGAAGGGCCACGCTCTCCCAGAATATCAGCATAAAATAGCAGCTTCACGCTGCTGTGTTATGTATGGTGAGTGTAAAGAAATGACGACCCTTTTTACTGGAAAAAAGGCAATCCGGCTTAGTCCTTATGGCTGATAACGCATCTTCATTTTGATTCGCAAACAAGGGTAGATATAGTTGTCTATGGGCTACAGCAACCACTTACCATCAGGTGGACTGCATGCTCGCTTGTTACCCTTATACTATGAAAAAATTACATTAAAATTAAAAGTTAGTAATCACTTACAATCAGATTTACTGTAGCTTGGATATTATAAGAAGTGTTAAATTATGTATGTTTATGGTATCTATACAGAGTAGGTAGAAGAAGTGTTTCTTGGATATTTCATCCTAACAATGATGATGTAATGTAAAATTAAAATAGCAGCCTTCACAAGAGGCCGCCTCACGCAATGTGTGTGGGCCGACTTTACCATGGTTTTGAAATGTTGTAATTTCACTGATTACAGGTTTTCACAGAATTAAAATAAAACTAATTTTTACATTTTTAAATATTTTTTTAAATTCTTTTATATCACCTCTAACTAGCTATTATTCAATGCAAACTTTGCAGCTGCGAGGTCGATGAAAATAATAGTTACAGTATTGTGGCCTTTGTGAGATGTGGGTTGAGTGTGTGTGCATTGGACCAATATTTGTGGCACTAGAGTACATTTGGAGTACTTAATAGCTAGCTGAAAATATTGCTTGAGCTTAATCAACCTGTACATTCTTATAGGATATACTATTTTGCCTAGGTTTTTATCTGGATGATATCATCATTTTATCACCCATTTCTATTGCTAAGCAGTAGTACATGCAGTGTAATAACATACTGTGTTCCATTCCATCTTAGTCTTCAGAGGTGTCAATTTATTTGTAGCCATCTTTCTTTGAAGTTGATTGCAGGTGTCCATGGCCAAACAATTAAAAAAAATTTATTTTCATGACCATTATGATAAAGACAAAATTTTCCAAATTTATCGAAGGATATCTACTGCGTCGGGTGCTCGGTACGTTTGAACACAGAACCACTCATACTCCCGTATCTGATGTAACACTTGCGTCACGTGATCGGAGAAAGTTTGAATCATCGGAGATTCGCAGATAAAGGGGGCGCATATTTTTTTTTTAATAATATTGGATCCAACTATTTCCTGACTTAACATGTATTCTGATCATCGCTTCACACAGTTCATTTTCATTATCGCATAACAATTTCGAATATAACAGAAAAAGGCAGGTTTCCATCTGATAAAAATATCAGAAGGCGTTATCTTCGACGTATTCGTCACATAATATACGTTCATCATCGCGCAATGGAAGTTTTCATAAATCGGAGCTTAAATACAACTATCCCCACTATATATGTTATCGTGTAGTGGCGGTGTAAGAATTTCAACTACCCCATATCGTCCCGTGGGTGTCAAAAGAGGCGACAGAAACAAACCAGAAGAGAAAGACCCTGCTGCGCATCTCTGCGCCTTCCAGGCAGTTATTTAGCGCAATGCGGAAGATGAACCCGTCGCGTGGTGTCATTTGGACATCTTTCTCACTGAGAGCTATCCGTAGAGACTAAACTTGAATGTATTATCGTTTTAAATTCCATAGTTAGACAATTTGGACCAAATCGGTCGCCATATTGGAAATCTCCTCTCGCCATAGCGTAGGACAAGAGAAACAATATAATAATAGGCAGTAATATTAACGCATAACGCAGTTATTATAACTCTTTTTTTATCTGAAGTTGGTAGCATTTGCCTGTTGGTTAAGGAGTCAAACTTCTCATCAAATCTTTTATTTTTGGCAAAATAAAGAAATCGCATGGTTTGAGGTCTGCTCTACCTTGTCAGAAGCCAAAAATGACGTCTTGTTCGCCATGCGACTCTTGGTCGTTTTCCCTAGCTTCTTTAAAGTCACTGGGAAATTAAATGGTAGTGTACTCAGGTGTCTTTTGCTCGTCAAGTGGGATCGTGGAAACAGGACCCGTCTAAAAGAATAAAAACGCAATAATTATTTAATTATTTTGCTCACGCTTGTTACTCGTTCCAGTTTTGTTGGTTTGCTGTCGCCTTCAAACACCCATGCACAATACTGTTGCTTTATTTCCGTAATGTAATAATATATCCATGTCCCATCTCCTGCCACAATGTCATACATTTGAACGTCTGTGATCATACTTAGCATTTTTTACTCTCAATTACTCAGCAATTCCTCAAATGAGTGAGTCAACTGACTTCTAAAAGCATTTTGAAGACGAGCAATCTTGCAGAGAGAGTAAACTTTTAAAATCATACAAAATCATCGCTTTCAAATCTTTTCTCGTTACAAATTCGCGCCAAATAAAAAAAATGTGTTTCTTATTATATATCTTATTTAAAAAAAATTAACATTCGAAATTCAAACGTTTACGAATGACAAGGAGCGCAGAACTTTCATTGTGGCCTGTTCCACCATTTTACCGCCAAACTAGACTACTCCTAGCAGTGCTTGCACCTGTGTTCTGATCTGAAGGATATAGAGAGCTAGTATAATTACTGGCTGTGAGACATTCTATCTAAGTCCTCAGACGTGACAATGCATGTTGCATGCTGTGCCTTCTTTGTTTGAAATTGGCTGCAGGTGTCTATA